AAATAAAAATTCTACTTTGAATCAGATTCCTTCCCAGAAGCCACATGGGGGCAGAAGCAGTTTAAGATTGATTCAAAGCGTGCGAGAAATATAATAATATTCATTAGCAAACGTCCTCAGGGCGGCTCGCAAGGCTATGCAGATAGGTTGGATTCCACACGCATGAGCGTCTGCTAGCAAGCCAGTTTCGTGAGAATGTGTGCAGTTTACCCTAGATGTAGCAGCAGACGGGTAAAACAACGTCGCGGGACTGGAGACAAACTGGTATTGCTGGTGAGTGGGGAGCCTACATGGACATTTTTGATAGAAAGGCGTAGTGACATTTTATGACATGTATGACAGGCAGGTAAGCGCCTATGGAGAGAAATTCGCGGCGCTGAACCGTTGCAAACCTGGCTCCGTCTATTCGGAAATTATTCGCGAAATATTCCAAACTTCGAGAAACAACTGTTCGCCATTCGAAAATCACGAATTGCGTCTTCCGCCATTTCACACATTACATTTTACACTGGGTTTTAGGTAGTGCTCAGGCTTTTCACGCACCTTTTGAGCGTGAATGCGATTCTTAAAATTACCTTGTTTCTCCTGTGATTTGAGGGCCTAGCAGAGACTGAAATCAAAAATAAATACTCACCTCTAGCTTGGTGGTTCGTGAGGTTCTTGAGGACCTCATAAACCTCAGCCGTCGCAGTTATTGCTTCGCTTCCCGCAGTAGCCATGGCCATGCTTCGATATGAAGAAAGTCACCGTGCTGAAAATTGTGTTCTTTGCACGTAGCGTGGTTATGATAGCACCTCGTTGGACCAGCACAGCCAAGGAGCCTAAGAAGCACAGTACAACTGGCACAACCTGGCCAACCTGGCACAGCGAGGTTGTGCCTCAACGAATGGACACTCCCATTCTATTTGCTCAGTGAAACTTGCGAGAGTTTAGGAGGTAACTTGCGCCGCCTAGGCAAGAGAAGAGAAAATGGAAAGGAGCGCCACTTGCTGGTAGCAGCGGCAGTAAACCGCCACCTTCTGGCGCTCTGCCTTGGGGTGGTGAGGGTCCCGTGGTACGCCGCCGGCATGAGTTCGGTTGCCGGTGCCACCGGCGCGGTCTTGCCGGCAATTGACCACGCGAATTCGCCATAAGAACACTGGGAGTTTCAAACTAGAATCCCGATATATCTAAGATCCTTACCAATATCCGACTCGTCTCTTTTTCTTTGTGAGAGTCCCCCATTCCATTTCGCGTTATTTCTGATTATGTTGTTCTTTCTTGGGATGGGCGACGACTGGTGAGGTTTTATCATTTTTACGACCTTGGGTGCTTTCTCACAATAGGCACCGAAGCAGCATTTGGAGAGTTCAGTCTAGGTCCGGGTAGAAGACAAGCTACCGGGCCTCCAGTGCGCTGTAGGCTGTGGGGAGACCGCTCCAACTTTGCAAGCAATGCTTCTCTGCGCATCGTGAAAATTGCGAAGCTTTTAGAAGTTTGAAGCCTCTCTCCTCTCGAATGGACAAAAGAGAACATTTTTTTTCGAAACTGATAAGAAGTTCGAAAATTAACTAGTCGAAACTCAAAATTCGGCGGCGAACCTCACGTTCGAAGTTCGCCGCATTTTTAGAAATAGCCCAAAAGTAACCGCATAGCGAACCCCGAAATTTTGACGCCAACTAGAAAAAAAATGTAGCCCGATTTGGCTATATATGGCCCAATCTGGCAACCTGCCGCCAATCGCAGTCCCAACGTTTCCAGCGCCACATACGCTTGACAAACAAGCAGCGACGATGACGACAACGGGGGAGAGTATATATGAGAGAAAGGTACTAGTCCTGCTTCGGGTATGGTCAAAGAAAAAACTGTTAACGTGCAGGCGTTAACCGTTTTACGTTTGTAAGCTATACATGATGATTGAAAACCCAAGACTGTGGTTTGAAAAGCGGGAAATCGTGAAGTAGAAAGAAAAAGGGACAGCCAACGTCTCAAACTCAGCTAAAAACTTTGTTTTTAGCTGAGCTTGTTCGCATAAAAACATCAAGAAATTGCATTAGCCAAGCGTCCCTGCAAATTGGAAGTGAGTCACAAAAGTTTCTTCGACTGTAAAGACCTAGTGTAGGGTGAACGTAAAAGGGGAGAAGGATGCTTCGCAGTTGTTTGCATTGTTGGGTTCGGGATCGTAATGGGGGTCATTGTTGGCGATTGCGTGTGATTCATGGTTCATAGAGGGAAAAGGGGGGGGGGGGGGGGGGTAAGTTAGAGACGGTCTTTTTGTGTTTCCAAGTGCTGGTGTTACAATGTCCGCGTCGAAGTCCTTCCGGGTACGGTGGTGAAGACCTTGTGTTTCTGTTTGTATAACGCATCCTTTTTATGTAAGTATTGGTTGCGCTTCGATGTATTGTCATTCCGTTGTACTGTTTGTAGTTCAGTGATCAACCGTTGTGGTCGTGGCGACGTTCGACGTCCGGGGGAGGTGTATATAAGACATAGAGGCAATCAAGTTTTTAGCTGAGTTTGAGACGTTGTTCGTCCCTTTTTCTTTCTACTTCACGATTTTTTGTTTTTCAAACCACAGTCTCGGGTTTTTAATCATCATGTATAACTTACACCAGCGCGCCTGCACGTTAACCGTTTTTTCGTTGATCAATTTTACGCAAATTTGAAGATTATTTCCTGAACATTAGAAACTCATGCTGTTTGCTCACAAATATTGAAGCTTTCTTACTCTAAGGTGATCTGGAATACACCGCTCTTATTTATGGCATGCTCGCTGTGAATATTATTGTGTGGTTTTCTAATGATATGATAATGGACTGCAAGTTATATGTTATTGCTCTCACATGTCTTAGCAGTTATGTAAGGATACGTGAATTGCATGTCCACGTTAACGTTTATGAACGTTCAACATCATTTAGAAAATATCCCGTTTCCACCAAGTTGGATATGGGTCACTCCATGTCAAGCGTCCCAGACGTCGCTCTCGACCGCGTCCAATTTAAAAAAAAAAAAAAAAGTTCATGGACTTGAGCCGCAATCTCCCTAGCCAAGCCCCAAAATGCTTTTGACGAAAAATGTTTTTTCATGACGCGAGCGCGGTTTTGACGTTTAAAAACAGCGTGGAACTAGGCATCACTCAGTAATTGATGAAAAATCAGTTTTTTGATGAAACACTCAACAAAATTCTTTCCTTAGATTTGCACAGCTTTGGAATTACAATGTGGTTGGGATTTTTTTGTGTGAAAATTTTAACATTTCTGTTATTTTATGAAAACATATCTAATTGCTCCCAGGATTTACTAGAACTCTTTACCGGCTCGCCCGTGCGGGTATATAATCTATAAAGAATGTTTAAAACCCTTCAAATAAATATCTTGCAGTAAACAAAAAATCCTGAAGTTGCGAAAAAGTGCGTTCTCACGCATAAAGACCGATTCAAACGACGGACTGGTCCGCGGACGGATTGATCACGTGATGACATATCCGCGGTTCGTCCGTGTCCCGAGCGCATCCACACGAGGGGGACGACGAGCAGACGCCAGCGAGAGCGGAGCAAACCTGTTCGCCACCACACAGTGCCGCGAAAGTCCAACATCGCACCGTGGCACCGTTGTTCACGAGAGTAATCGACGTTTGCTTCCGCGATAAAGAATCGTACGCCGCTGTTACGTACGAATTGAGACTAAACACCGTGATAGGCTTCGCGCGAAACGCCACTAGCTTTATTAACCCAAATCATGACAGTGACACCGGCATGGTCCTGCTCGAGAAGGGTTCGACGTAGCAGCGACGAAGTTCTGGGCTCGCGAAAGGGCGTTTGGAGATGCCTTCACGCACTCCGCGCTCGTGCACAACACTCAAGTACACCACAGCCACAAGAGAAATCTTACTCGGTGAAAGCCCGATTGGACGTGCAAGAACTATGGCGGCGTGCTAGAAGAGTTTGGAGGGGAGCTTCTTGACACAGACCCGGAGGAGTACCGGAACCCCAGCCGGACAAAGTTTCTGCAGTTTCTTTCACGCGTGGAACCAAGAATCGCGCAACAAAATGAACCAGTGGACGCACAACAAAGAACGATGCGCCATTTTTGTTTTAATAGTGCAGAAACAAAGAATTAAGAAAACGATGTACACTGTAAAAAATTTTTGCCCCATTTTACGGCAAAAGTTGCCGGTTCAATATTGCCGACATGTTTTCCGTAATCCAGAATATGGACCGTCTGTGAAAACAAGACATATAATTTCGTAAAATGACGGAACGTCCGTAGCTCACTTTACGAACAATTATCCATTTTTCATTTTACGGGAAAAGTTGCCGGTTCAATATTGCCGACATGGTTTCCGTAATCTAGAAACTGAAACGTCCGTAAAAACAAGGCATATATTTTGTAAAATGACGGAATGTCTGTAGCCCACATTACGGACAGCTATCCGTAGGAAATATGAAAGCTGTTCACACTAAGTAACGAAGCACTATACCTTTCCGCCTTATATAAGGCCAAACCTACGATCCATTCGTACCACCTGCACCTCCGATACATCTGCAGACCCCTCGCAGAGCTCTAGCCCTGCCAGGGGTTTCACCTAATGTATCAAAGGTGCAGGATTGGTGCAGACGGCTTGTAGCTATGGCCTTCAAAAAGACAGAAAGGTATAGTGCGTCATTACTTAGTGTGAACAGCTTCCATGTCCAAGTAAGCCGAAGTCACACAAAGCTTAGGGGTACAGATTGGTATGGAGAGTTCATAGCTCCGTCATTCAATATATGCACTTGTATAATTTTTCATCCTTAGACAAAACACGCAAGAGTTCATGTTTTGCGAAAGAAAAAGAGCACGCAACCTGTACTACTCCTTGCCAGCATTATGTTGTGTGAGATCAGCTGTTCCTATAGGCAACAACTGAACAAACAAAGCAATTAAGAAGTTTCGCCACGATACCTTTATTGGAAGAGGGCATGCCTTGCTTTAAGTTTCGAGAAATTTTACATTATAGTTGTCCTTGCGCTGGCTATCTAGATGCCCCTCCTTGCTTGTGCTTATAGTTGTCTTTCAATTGAAGACTTCTTCAGTATCCTCATAGTGCATGTAAGGGCAGCTTGAAATAAAGAACAGTAGAGAATTCGAAATCAATACACAATTACAACAAATTGTATATGACATACATGGTTAAAGTCTCCAAGCAATGTGCTTATCAACTATCCCAGCTATCCACCTTTCTTTATGACATATAAACCAAACCTTTCATAAATCGAACCAAAATAAAAATTTGCTTTCACTTGAGTACCTAATACAAGTGTTTAAGAAATAAAACGAGCGATTTAAAATTGCACAACTATTCTGTGATATTCAGCACATTGAATTCAGCCGGATCTCCCTTAGTTTACACAGTAGGCTCGCAATAATTCAAACTCTGATATTTAATACTTCTGGTCAAACAAATTTCAAAAACTTGGGTTGTCCCGCTACGTTTTCAATGTATTCATAAGCCGCTGAACTCGAACGGCGCTTTCGTGCAATTCACACTTTTTGTTCTCGCGGCACCGTTGAGAGCACTTCTTTCTGAGCACTGTGGAGAAGGTGTTGCTTTTCCGCAGTGCACCGGTGCTGGGTACGAAGTACACTCAACGAGGCTAAAGCAGAGTAAAGCTGTATATAGACTGTTTTACTGAAAGATGGCGAGAGGAAAGGGGAAAGGGCTACTGGCATTTTCCCCCTAGCTGCAGCGTTTGAAAGAGTGAAAATTCCAGATGAGAGGCTTCGGCGGTGTTGGGTGTAGGCATTGCTCGCACTTTGTTTGCGCTTTCTTCTCTGTTTTAAATTCCCAAACTTAATTAGAGCCACGGGCTTTGATAGCGACAGTTCCCCGGTCATCGGGACATCATTGCTCGGTTATAGGCTGCACGAAGAACGGCAGAAAGCGTCGAATACTGCCGGGGACCTATGTAGCTTGCATGGAATCCGACAAGACGAGTGCGGCTGCAATGTTTTTAAGCCCCATCTCTTTCCACATGACCCCGAAAAGACCTTTCCCCAACGCCATCCTCTCGACTGTGCTCGGAAAATTTTGTGAATGAAGTGTGCACCGCACTTAATGCTGTACCGTCAATGAACATGGAGTACGCTCGCAAGGTGCGTGCAAGTGTTCTCCTGATAATTGCTGTTTCAGCTTGTAAAATGTTGTAACTGAGATTATCTTAATATTGATATTTTGAAGTGTCTACAATGATTTGATTTTATTATCTAGAGCACTTAGTTGAAGGCTGAATACCGCCGTTGGGTGTGGCTGGAAATTGTCGAAAAGTTAGTCCTACTGCTTTTGCTTGAATCGCGATCTCCTGTGTGATACCAGAAAGCCGTGAACCTCTGTTGACCGTCACAGCGCGACTAGATTATTTTTATTTTCAAAATTAGTACCTATTGTAGCTGGAAAGAAACCTTCAATTTATGTTGCTGAAAGTTGAAACATGCTCATGCATCGATGTTTATAAATGTAAAAACATGCTCCTGCATAGGTGTTTATAAACGTTTTATTTGAGGATCCCGTGCCGACAAGTGTGTCTTTTGTCGAGAACTGAAAACAACAAAGTCGAGATGCGCCTATTGCCGGAGCGAGTCGATCAATGATTCAACGATTCGAAATTGATCGATGAGCATGTTTAAACTTTCAGCAACAGAAATTGAAGGTTTCTTTCCGGCTACATTATGTACTAATTTTAAGAACAAGAAGAATCCAGTCGCATTGTGATGGTCTACATAGGTTCACGGCTCTCTGGTATTGAGCAGGAGATAGCAATTCTGGAAAACTGATAGAACTAACTTTTCGACAATTTCCAGTCACACCCGGCAGCGGAAATGAGCCTTCAACTAAGTGTTGTGGTCGATAAAACTGAGCCATTGTAAACACTTCAAAATATCAATATTAGAATAAATTCAGTTACAAAAAGTTACAAGCTGAAACAGTAATTATAAGGAGAAAACTTGCACGCACCTTGCGGGCATACCCCATTTCATCGATTGTACAGCGTTAAGTTTGGTGCGCACTTCATTCACAAAACGTTCTGAGCACAGTCAAAAGGATGTCATTAGGGAAAAGTATTTTCGGTTTACGGACGTAGGTCCCCAGAGAGTATCCAACGCTTTCTGTCGTTATTCGTGCACCCTATAACCGAGCAATGGTGTCCCGATGACAAGGGGATCGTCGCCATCGAAGCCCGTGGCTCTAATTAGGTTTGGGAGTTTAAAACAAAGAAGAAATGCAGGCATCCAACATCGGCAAAGCCTCTTATCTGGGACTAACTCTTTCTAACGCTCGAGCAAGGGGGAAAGTGCCGGTTTTTGTTTTGAATTCAAGAACTTTTTTAGTGTTTCTTTAAACATGGTGCCTATGAAGTACTTCATGAACCTGAAATACTATACCCGTTTTCACCTCAAGAACCGTAGTAAAACAAGATTTCCCACACTAGTGTTAAATTAAAACAATGAGAGCAAAGTTGTTTCGTTAAGAGGTGCTGACCTGATAGGCATCTGTGGAATCAGGCATTGACTCATTGCTCCCAGAACTGAAGAGCTGGCTCTGTAAAAAGAAAGTATTGTTCACCTTCCTGTGCATATTTTGTGCAATTGGAAGAGACAAGAGATATTGTTTAAAATTACCAATCCTTATGGGCCCGTTTGCTCGAAGCGCTAACCGCGGCTAAAGTTAGCCGCAGCACCTAGGAGAAGGGATTTTGAAATCAAGTGACGGGCTCGGTAGGGATGCGGGGAAATATGGCGGAGCCCCGGTGACTGAGCGCCGCACGCTTTGGAACTAATATGTCGTTGTAGCTGCAATATCGGGCGCATAGTCAGCAACGAATGCTGCAGTAGGCTTTCACTTGGCCTTACCTCACTTATATTGCAAAGCATGAGCAATGACCTCGCCGCATTTGTTAGATAATCTTTCGATTCTAGCAATTCCTAAGCCTAATGAACGCGATAATTGTCGGCATGGCAACGTCTTTGGAAAGCGGATTGCCTTGACTCAATCGGCCGGGTATTGATAGCACACAAAAACAGACAGCGTCCCAATAGACCTTTTTCTAAATTACCCAAACATCGAGGAGAACGCTGAAAGTGTAATTCTACGGTCTGCAAGCGCTGGCCTCCCTCTTATAAAAGATTCGAAGTATATAATCATAATAAGGCTTTGACGAACGCACGTGCAAGGCAAAATTTGTTTTAGACTTTTTGCTTTTGAACAATTACTACTGCAGACGCCAGCACGTGCAACGTGTGTAACTACACTCGTAGCGTGCACCTCGGTGCTTGGGAAATTTAGAGAAAGGTTTATGGGACGCTGTCAGATTTTGTGCGCTATCAATGCCCGGCCGATTGAGTCAAGGCAATCCACTTTCCAAAGACGTTGCCATGCCGACAGCTACCGCGTTCATTTAGGCTTAGGAATGGCCAGAATCAAAAGACTATCTAAACAATGCGGCGAGGTCATTGCTCGTGCTTTGCGATTTAAGTGAGGTAAGGCAAAGCGGAAGCATAGTGCACCATTCGTTGCTGACTAAAGCGCCCGATATTGCAGCTACAACGACATATTAGTTCCAAAGCGAGCGGCGCTCCGTCATTGGGGCACCGCCATGTTTCCCGGCATCCCTACCGAGCCCGTTACGTGATTTCAAAATCCCTCTCCTAGGTGCTCTGGCTAACTCTAGCCGCCGTTAGCGCTTTCGAGCAAACGGGCCCAGATGTGCAAACATTACTGTTCAAGGCTGCTAGGAGCAGTTTATGACACTAGTGTTCAATCAAAACAATTAGAGAAAAGTTGTTTCTTTAAAGTAAATACATTAATTAAAATTGGAAGTGACTTTTACCCTCAAAGTGCTATAACTAGGGGTGTGCGAATACCAAATAGCAGTTTACAAGTCGAATACCGAATCGAATCAAAAAAAAAAAAAGCCGAATATCGAATCGAATATTGAATAGTGATTTTATTTGTAGGAATTTTTCAAAGTGTGCTGCAAATGAGACTATTATATGTGCAGAGTATGTGCCTGGTGTAGAATATGCTTCTTGTACAGAACCAAAGCAAAAATGTACACAACCTAACACCGCGACATTTTTAAAAAAATATTTGTGTATCTCAGAAAAGGGACATTTAAAAAAAAATTGGCTTGCTCTTTATGTTTACACAGCCTTGATGGAGATGCGCCTCAACGGGTAATCGGTCTCTTAGCTGTAGATGAGAAATTTAGCCAGTGCAGTACAACTGCTAACCTGGGATTTTTAACGTGCATCACACAGTAGTGATCACACAAACGCGTGCCGGTACGAAACTCATCCAGATCGAAACGGGCGGGGGCGGCAGGGATCGAACCCAGCGCAAGCTTTCGCTCCACGCTCCGAGCTGAGACGCGTTAGCCCACTCGGCCACTTCCTCCCAGGGGGCATTTTGCGATATTTGGTCTCTATTTTAAGGAAGAAAAAGGACACCGGGGATTTTATTTTGCATAAATAAACAGATAGGTGTTAAATCTGAGTAAACAGGCTTAAACAATATAATCTGAAGCAAGGAAACAAAACTTGGTTAGGTGGCGCAAGTCACCGTCCAACTGCCGCTATGCATAAATTTTTCGGTCTATCTATTCTGTTTTAGAGAGCCTTGATTTAAAAGAGGGAGCAAGCGAAACTGAAATTACGAAGACTGCTCCAGCGCAGGTTGGTCGTAAGTGTGCATGTGTTGTGTTATCGCGTGGAAAGAAGGCGAGCAAACAAAAGAGCGACGACGCCTGCCCTGCCTGCCCGATCAACGCTTCCGTCTTTTCGTCACCTTCTCGCAGTTCATAATTCAAACGCGGCTATCGAACAGTTGGAAACCCTCTCAAATCTAGGCACACTATTTTTCCGTTCAGTTTTGTTCAAAATCAGAATTTGCGGCTTACAGCTCCAAAAGAACGACGACGATAACTCGGCTGGTTTCATCGGCGCGGTTAACGTAGTTTTCTTTGTGTGATCGTGCAGTCGCCGATTTCCGTGAATGCGGCAAGTGTGTTCTACATCGGCGCTCGTGAAAAACAATTAGGCATGGCGCGGCGTAATGGGATGTTTCGGTTGTGATTCAAAGGAAGATTGTGTCACGATCGTGAGTAAATCTGCGTGCTATAAAGTTTGTGGCTTTCGTTAATTTTCTTTTTTCTAACTTGCGCGTTAGATTTTTGTGGAATGGTAGGACCAAGAGGTGTTTCTCGCATGGTCTGTCTAATATCACAGCGCTTACATTGGGAGAAAGAACGACTTTTTTGTCAGCTCCGCGCCGACCGCGCGTCTTTGGCCGAATATATCGAATATTCGAGTGACCGAATACTAGGAATTCGATTCGCAATTCAAATTATTCGGGAACTTTATATTCGATTCGAATTCGTATATTCGAGTGTTTGCACACCCCTAGCTATAACACATAAAATGCAGTATTTAAGAGGTTGTTTTTTTTATTTTAAACTAAATGTGTGTATAGGCCACATGACGTCAGATCAAGCAACATCAATTTTTCTGCCAAATTTAGTGGGGAAGCTGAATTGGTACATAGGTCACGTGACATTCATTTTTCCGCTACATTTAGCAGGAACCTTACCTTGTAGGTCACATGACGTCAGATTACATGACAAATTTTTCTGCCAAATTTAGTGGGTAAATTGAATCGGTGTGTAGGTCATGTGACATCAATTTACCCGCTAAATTTAGCGGGGAACCTGAATTTGTCTGTAGGTCACATGACGTCAGGGCACAGGAAATCAATTGTGCCTCTAAATCTAGCAGGTGAACTGAATTAGTGCATAGGTCAGATGACATCGATATTTCCGCTAAATTTAAGGGGGAAATTGAATGGTTGCATAGGTCACATGACGTCTATTTTTCCGCTAAATTTATCGAAGAGCTTTAAATTGTCTGTAGGTCTTGTGACATAAATTTTTCTGCTAAATTTAGAGGGGAAACTGAACTTGTGTAGAGGTCACGTAGCAGCAATATCCCCGCTAAATTTAGCGGCAAATGCACGGATGGATGGACAACATTTTAGGATTGGAGGGTAATGTTAAAAAGCACTTAATGTTCTTTAAAAAAAAAGCTGCTCACCTGATGCGCATCTCTGGAAACAGGCTTTGACTAGCAATGAATTGTAGCCCCAGGACTGAAGTGCTGTTTCAGTAATGCTTCCTGCACAAACAATTAAAAAAAATGTAAAAACACAAGCCTCAAAATTTTCTTGCCATTCTCCTTCGCCTGCTTTGCTGTGCATTTAATTTATTTCATCCCTTGGCAAATCCTAAAGATTTCGAAGTGCTTATCCTACGTCTTTCTCTTAGAGCCCGGTTCATGTTGCAGAAATTCGGCCGAATGGGTAACCCGGAGCATTCATTGTTTGTCGAGACACTTTTCCTTTTACTCCATCCTGTTCTTGACAGCAGAAACTACTCTCCCTTGACCACAGTCATTAAAGGGATACTGAATCGAAATTTGGATTCCGCAAAATAAGGCTGTAGAAGCGTTGAACGGGACGCTACGAACTGCAGAACATCACTCAAACACTGATATCTCAAACGGATGGCCGTACTTTTGGAAATGAAGGGCGCGATCAAGTGAGGTCTTTGACGTAATTGTCCTACGGGAAAATTTGAGAATGAGGGGAAGCGGCCTCGCTTCTCTGCTCCTTGCTTCGGTTCACCAACTCAACACGAGACGTAGCGAGGTGAAGAGAGAATGGGAATCTTGACGTGCCTTGTCTCGTCGGCCTTGTCAGCCGTGTTCAATCGCGAATTTCTTTTCTAAAAATACGGCAATCCGTTAGAGATATTGCTGTATGAGTGATGTTTTGGGGTTTTGCAGCGTCCCGCCTATCCGTCCAGCCTAGTTTTGTGAGCTCGAAATTCCGATTCAGTATCCCTTTAAGGAATTTTCAGATCATACACAGGGGGTTGGCATTGCCAATACAAGCTCATGTTTGAGCATGGAATGAGCAGACGTCTGCAATCAGCAATGTCTGATCTACAGGAAGTTTCTGTTTTACCAAGACTCGTACCATTCCATTGTCAAAGAAAGGAGCAGGCACTGTTAATAAAAACTTACTTTCCTTACACTGTTTTAAAGAACAATTGCTCTTTCTTAGGATCAAATGATCATATTAGGATAATTGACAAATAATGGTAGATTCACATGATGGATCGATTCGCAATTTTCATCTGTGGACCGTTTGTCACGTTACCATCATGTCGGCTATTCCTACGATTTGCACCTCGTCAGCAAACGCCCAGACTGTGAGGGCAGAGTGCCTTTTCACGCGCAGATTTCTGGCGGGTGAGTAACAGTAAAAGCGTTTATGTACAGTAGAGTACCAACAGCACAGCAATATTTTTGTTTTCGAATAAGCCAAACAAAGATGGTGCACCACTGTGTTTTGTCATTCGCTGTTTCATTTTGTCGAGCCATTCTTATTTTCCACTTGTGGAAGAAGCTGCAAGAACTTTGCCCAGTTGATGCGCCGCAGGTTCTGGTACTCCTCCATGTCGGTGTCAAGAAGCTTCTGTGAAAACCTGCCTAGCACGCTGCAATCTTTCCTGCACGTCCACCCAGTTTTCCACCCAGCAAGACCTTTCTTACGGCTGTAGTGTGCTGGAGAGTGGTGCACAAGGAGGCAATGCGTAAAGGCATTTCCAATTGCCTCTCCGCGACCCCAAGACTTAATCGCTTTAATGCTGAAGCCTTCTGGAGCAGAACTGTACTTGTGTCATGTGGTTAGTAGAGCTAGTGGTGCTTCACGCTAAGCCTGTCACAATGCTTTGTCTCGCTCGGTATGTAAAAGCGGCACACAACGATTCTTTTTCATGATAGCACCGTGAGCATAGTCGCAAACATCACTTCTGACCTTGGAAAACGGTGCCACAGTGCGATGTTGGCCTTTTGTGGGTGCTCGAATAAAAAAAGTGAAAGCCGTTTACAAATCCCTGTAACGCCGAATTGGAGCGCAGCTCTTGAGGAGGAGGAGTGAAGGGTACTGAGGGGAGGGTAGACCCCTCCTCCTCCCCTCATTCTTTAATATGCTCCGGGGGGGCGGTCACGTGACCTCGGGGGGGGGGGGGGGTGTCACGTGACTTCGGGGAGGGGGGTCACGTGACCTCGGGGGGTCACGTGACCTCAGAGGGGTCACGTGACCTCAGAGGGGTCACGTGACCTGGGGGTCACGTGGGGTCACCTTGGGGTCACGTGACCTTGAGATGACCTTGGGAGGGGTCACGTGACCTCGGGGGTCACGTGACCTCAGAGGGGTCACGTGACGGGGGTCACGTGACCTTCAAAGGGTCACGTGGGATCTTGGGGTCACGTGACCTTGAGATGACCTCGAGGGGTCACGTGACCTTGGGAGTCACGTGGGGTCACGTGACCTTGAGATGACCTTGGGAGGGGTCACGTGACCTGGAGGGGTCACGTGACCTTGGGGGACACGTGACCTTGGGGGTCACGTGACCTTGGGATGACCTTGGTTACGCCGACGGCGACGGCGACGGCGACGGCGACGCCGCTCAAGCTGGGAACGGGCCCCTAAGAGCTGCGCTCTAAAACAGAAAGCGTTGAATACTGTCGGAAGACCTATGTAGCTTGCAAGGAATCTGGCAAGGCGAGAGCGGCTGCAATGGTCTTTAAACGCCCGTTCACACTCTTGCAACCCAGTAAGACAGAGAGAGAACAGACCGCTTTTTAAGCCTCTTGCAATCTCTTAGGACCACCTCCGCGCTGCAGCCCATCCGGTCCTAAGAAGTCGCAAAAGGCTTAAAAACCAGTGTGGTCTCTCTCGGTCGTACTCGGACGCAAGAGTGTGAACGGCGTTTAAGCTCCATGCTTTCCACATGACCCCGGTTTCAGGCGGCAATGGATTGCATCCGTGAACCGAAAAGGCGTTTCCTCAACGCCAACCTCTCGACCGTGCTCGGAACATTTTTCGTGAATGGAGCGCGCACCGAACGCTGTATCGCCAATGAACATGGGGTACGCTCGCAAGGTGCGTGCGAGTTTTCTGGTGATAACAGCTGTTTCAGCTAGTAAAATTTTGTAAATGAATATATCTTAATATTGATCATTTGCAGTGGTGGCTGACTCGATTTTATCGCCCACAACACTTAGTTGAAGGTTCGTTTGCGCCGCCGGGTGAGGCTGGAAATTTTAGAAATGGTAGTTCTATCAGTTTTCCTGATTCGCGATCTCCTGCGTGATACCAGAGAGCCGGCAAAAGCGCTCCTTGGAGTGGCGCTGGTTGGTTGTTTCCATTGATTGGGCGCTTTGAAACGCTGGACGGTCGCTGCAGGGTATGGCAGTTTAGCTCTGAAATGAAAGGCACTTGGAAGTGAGTGGCACCGTCTCTCGAGCTTACACAATTAAGGCTGAACCGCATGTACGCCGACGAAGATTTCTCACTGTAGCTCGGTTTTTCGATTTCTAGAAAACGTTGCTCATCGCCTTGGTCGCTTTTTCCCGTCGTTTTCGTGTGATTCGCCTCGTCGTGCGACTGATCGAGCGATTGTGAAAAGGGTTGCCATCATTTGTCTCGTTGCTCGCTAAATTGCTTACATGCGGTTTATCAGGCACGTAGCCAGGGTGGGGGGGAGGCATGCCCCCCCCCCCCCCCCAAAAAACAAATCTTCCATTTTGCTGGGGCCTCCTCTCCCCCCTAGCCTTCATACAGCATTTTGCAATGGGCGACCCCCCCCCCCCCTCCTCCCCCCCCCCCCCCCCTTCCGAAACAAAATCCTGGCTACAAGCCTGCGGTTTATACTTTATGGTTGTCGGCACTTGCGAAAATGTGAAGCTTGAATTTTATCGAGGGCTTTGCCCTTGCCGACTGTCAGACTGGTGGGAAAACTTTGGGTTCCAGTGAAATACCACCACATGATTTCTCACTTGCTTATGAAGTGAGGAGGTGGTGGTTTGAAAATCAGTTCATGGTATTTAGAGGAAGTTGTTTAAAACACCTTTTTTATGGTTCTGTTGTCACTACTCAATGCGCGTTTTTGTTTTTTTTCCAACCTTCTCAATCAAGTACTGCAAGAGGGTTAGTAAATAAGTGCAGCATATACAGGATTTTGTATAGAAAGTCAGTGCCCCAGTCGAAAAAGAACTCTTTATACTCTCCGCAACATCATCAATACAGACCCTACTTCTAAAGGCGCACGTCACGCATTGTTTCGAGTAGTTTCCGAAAACAAAAAACGAACTAGAATCGAACCCCCCACAGTGGAAGCGAATACGCGCGCGAGCACGCCAACGGTTACTTTTACCAGTCATGGGTTCTGCAAAACACACCGCCTAGTTAGGCGATACCAAGACACCACGCGATTTGCAGCAGTCAAGCCTTGTTTACCGATCTACGAGATGAAGCTCCGATATAATCACCAAGTGCCTCGCTCGGCCGCCCCAGCTGCCTCCGGTGGAACCTTTGCCTCTGGGTGCCTTCCCGCAATCTGACTGCTCGCTCAGTGACAGATCGGTTCCGGGACTTCCTTGGCAAAAGCTCGAGGGCCGTCCAATGCGGAACGCACGTGTGCGACAAGGAACCGCTCACGGTCGCTTTCACGCCGCCTGCACACACAAGAACACGACATAATCGCTCCGAACAGAAAGGACTCAAGAAGTAAAACGAATCGGCGTGCACTCACCAATTAGAGTCAACTCCACAGCTGGTTCCACGGGCCCGCCGGCACCGAATGCACTTCCTTTTCCAAGAACGTTCTTCGATCTTCTTTTCCGAAAGATTGGAAGCGCCCAACATTACGCCCGAAAGTTTGAAACTCGCTTTGTTTTTGTGTTTTGTTACGATGGTGATGGCGATGCGGCGATGCTCGTTGGTTCCGGCCACCGCGGTTCCGACCAAGCTCATTTGACGCAACATAAATGTGCTTGTATTAGTCAACTGAATTTCAAATTTTCAAATACAGAAAGTTGTTTTAACATTTATATAATTATTTGTAATAAACCATGTTGTAGTGCATTGTGTACTAAACTGAAGCTGGGCAAGGCTTGGCCAGCTCGGCTTCGTTTCAGTTTATCATGGCGGCGACCGCCACTGTACCATGTAGCGTGCTCGACCTATTTGCTGTGCACTGGTTGTCTTGTTATCCACCTCCTGCGATC